GAGATTTTGGGTCTCTTCCTCTCTACTAGTATGCTGATTGAAAGACAAGGCTAAACATGTCATTGCTTCAAAGACTCTGTGCATTACACTCACAGGCTGATACATGAGGAGGAAGCTGCATGGCAAGTATGGGTACGGGGCCTTCGACTAAATCTGGGTCGGTTGTTGGAAGAATTAGCTTACTGGCTTCCTCTTGTTTACTTTCCAGTGTTTGTTTTGTTTCATGATGGAAAGAGATCATAGAGAATCCCTTACACTGCCTTGATTGTTTGACCTAGAGGGATTCGTAGGTTCCAGCTTAGCTCTAAGTAAGGTGTCTTGAACGAAAGATCCCCCCCCCCCCCCCACATATTATATATATATATATATATATATATATATTATATATATATATATATATATATATATATATATAGCATGTAAAACATGAAATGAAGTGAACCTCTTCCAGCTTCGCGATGATCGCTGTCTCGATGCTTCATTTAGGGTCCTTAAGGGCTTTAGTTAGATTTGTTTGGGGCTTTGTTAGGTACTCAAGTGCGTGGGGCTTCATCTGGGCATCTTTTGGGTTGGTTAGGGGCTTCACTTGAGGTTTCATTTTGGCTTCATATAGGCACTTTGCTTTGACAAAAACTTGACAAAGTATAACATATACTAACGTCATGCTACAAGATTTCCTCACCAGAGAGAGAGAGAGAGAGAGAGAGAGAGAGAGAGAGAGAGAGAGAGAGAGAGAGAGAGAGAGAGAGAGAGAGAGAAAATATATGATTAAAACCAGTTCAAAGCAGGCTAGGATTTGTCGACGTCACAACTGCGTCACACTTTCCCTGTCCGAAAGCCTTACCGGGTGAGGGAGGCTACACTTTCGAAGTCGAATTGTAAATACCACAATGAGGTGTGTGTGTGTGTGCCTGTGTGTGTGTGTGTGTGTGCCTGTGTGTGTGCGTGTATGCCTGTGTGTGTGTCTGCCTGTGTGTGTGTCATGGTAATGCACTATAGTACCAACAATTAGGGTAGGCTGCGAAACGGACTGTGCCAAAGTGCCAAGCTGATTTGACGGCCCGTTGTGCAGGGATTTCCGAAGCCCGGTGGCCACGGAGCCCTGGAGTGCCTATCCGGTCACCTGGATCTGCACCTGGCCCTGGCTGCTTGCTTCAGGTGATGTAATGCTAATTGCCTGTTTGCTTATGCACTATTTATATGTATTTATATTTATACAGTTTGTTTCTTTTCTGTATTTTCAGTGTATATTTTATTATTGTTATTATTATTTTGTATTAGCATCATGATTATCGCTATTATCATTATTATCTATTTTATCATTATTATTATCATCATTATTGATATTATTATCATTATCATTACTAATATTGTTATTATTGTTAGTGTTATCATTATCATTATTTTTATTATTATTATTGTTATCACTTATTATTACTGCTATTATTATCTAAATAATTTTATTATTATTATCATTAGTTGAGCACTTGTACTGAACACCTGTAGTTTGGAACATATAAACAACATATTTCCATCATAATGTTTATTGATTTTTCACACTTCTGATAGCAATTCCTCTGATGAAACGTGTATCTGAGCTAATAGTTGTAAGGAAACAACCTCCTGGACATTCATGCTGGGAGATGGATATAATGTTTACTTACACATGTGTGTATATATGTATATGCTGTATATGTATATACATTATATGTATACGTATACACAATATATGTATATATGCATACATTTAGATGTCATTGTAAGTATATATATATATATATATATATATATATATATATATATATATATATATATATATATATATATATATATATATATATATATATGCATATGTGTGTGTGTACGCGCGTGTATAAAATGTTATATAAATACGTGCATACGAACGTGTTCACTGCCTGTAGTAAGTTCAATACAAATCCAATAAGAAATGTCCCGAACAAGAAATCCACTTGCATCAGTTATCGAGTTCTTCGTGTCTCCCTTTGGAAGCAAATCGAGGAAGACTCGTGCGTGAATCTCCAGGTGGTTCTCCCTGCGTTCGAATCTTCAGCTCGGTTCTGCCACAAAGTGCGCTGCCTTGAAATACTGGCAGTGTCGTTTCGGGCTTTGAGATAGAGTTTGGTAGGCGTTCAGGCTGTGACTGCGGATTGGGAGTCTGCCTTGCGATCCGTCATGGCTCCTGCCAGCATGACGAGACGCAACGGCCTGTCACGTGATACATGTATTCTTCGCGTGGCGCCCAAACGCAACGGGCCCGAGGGGTTGGGCGCCCAGCAGACGACACAGGCATTGTTTATAAACAGATAATAAACAAGAGCAAGGAATAGTTTTCAGTTTGGATTCTGTCATATATACTTTTGTGATTAGCGAAATGCCAGTGGACACGTCTTGACTTGCATTATATAACATATTAAGCTGAAGATTATAAGTGCGAAGCCTCACGAGAGTCCTTGCCTCGTAAGCCTAGCTTCTAGACTAATAGTGAAAAATATGCTATGCAGAGGTAAACAGAAGACTTTCATGAATACTAGAATTTGGAAACGCCCAGTAAATATGCTTAAAACAAAATCTAACACAGGAAAAGAACACATAGTTCCGTGTTCACATTCGAGCGTCAACGTAGCGCTCCAAGGCGTTCCGTTCGAGCGCTCTCTTTGCAGCGCACGAAGGCATTCCGGAGCGCAGGGCTGCTCGTCCATGTCACTCATCCTGACCTTTTGGGAGCGCCGAGAGGGCTTTCCGAGCCTCTTGCACTCTCTCTTTTTGGAGTTCCCTTAGCATAGCTGTCAGTCCTGTCCAGACTTGGGGCACTAAGGTCCTCATTGGATGCGGTTGGAACAAGTAGCGTACATCAATACTCAAAAAGATCTTGTATGAGTATTTAATGCCCAAGAGGTACTTGGCATATTCTGTAAGAGTCCCTCCCATGGCGTAGCCATTGTGGTTCACATCATAATAGACGTTGTGATTCAGCCTTATTGCTTCAGTGTATGTTGACGCGAGGGAACGCATGGCCTCGTAGTCCTCAGGATTGATGTGATTCCAGCTAAAGGGCAGCACGATCGACTGGCCAGGCTGCTGAAGGTCCAGCAACATCACCAGTTTGTGTTTGTTGTTGATTTGCTCCAAAGTCTCGACGATGGCCCTGGTCTCAACCTCCGACATGGGCGAGGGCCCCCTGTAGAAGGGGCTGCACAGACTGCCCATGGTCCCGTAGTTGAAGTAGTAGGGGAAGTTGAAGGGCAGACACACCCCCATGCAATGGCCTGCGAAGGAATGGAGGTTCTTCGTCCAGGTCATTTGTCCCAAAAGGGAATTATGGTACCCGTCGGGGTTGCCCACCGACCCATGAATGTAGAAGTGCATGCGTGCGGACCGCCTGCAGTCGGTCCATCAGCTTCCCTTGAGGAAGGTGCAGGGCGACCGCCGCGTCATTCCAGTCGTTTCGCCCGACGGCCTTGCGGAGGAGGGCAGCGCGGAGGAGGTGAGGCTTTGCAGGCGAAAGGAAACGTCCAGGAAATCATAGCCGCAGGCCCAGGCCAATGCTTGAGGAAAAGGGCAGGGAAGGGCCAGTGAAATAAGAGACTACTCAGTCAGAGCACCCGCACAGCTTGAAGGAAAAGCAGGGAGAAGGGCACCCGATAGGCATTTACCACCCACGGGGTTCAGAGTAGTCTGATCACCCGGGTCAATATCACCAGCTGCATGAGAGGGAAGCACCAGGTAGATAGTACCTCATAGGGGTAAAATCTTCTGAGTATTTCCTAGTTTGAAACGCGATTAGATAGGAAACGTAGTATATATAGACGAAGAAAATAGCTGCAATATATATACTCCCATTCAAGCAGCTAATATGAGCGCTGTAGGGATGTGAGGGTGACATACCATATAATATATGTATAATATTATACTAATATGTACGCATAGAATACATATGCAGACTCCGAACGTGTAATAAATTGACAATATATTATATTTATAATTTTATGATTTATATGTACATATAATATATTATAGTATATATATATTATATAATATATATACTATAATATATATATATATAATATAATATATTATATATAATATATTTAATTAATATATATTAATTAATATATTTAACGTATATATAGATATTGTAAATAATAGAGATATACACACACGTACACACCAACATCAACTAGCGAACCATATACACTAACACACATATCACTACACAATAGATACACACATAATATCACACAACACAACACATACAACACACAAACATATAACACACAACAATAGTATAATATATATTTATTAATATATCAATATATATATATTATATATATATATATAAATAGTAGATAAATATATATAATATTAATATTATATTAATAGTGTGTGTGTGTGTGTGAGTATGTGTGTATGTTGTAGTAGATTGTTGATGTGTCACTAGCGCGCATGGATGGCGCTAATATATATATTTATATTGACGTATTTATATTATATTAAATATATATATATATTATATTTATATATAATATATTTATATATATTAAGATAATATATATAATTATATTATATATTAATTTAATATTATCCATATAACACACCTCACCACTCACCACCATATATACACACACAACATACAGTGTGTGCACTAGTGTGAGATTCGAGTGTGTGTATCGAGTGTTCAGTGTGTGTGTGTGTGTGTCGAGCATGATCTCGATGTGTCGATGTGTCTCACTGATGAGTCGAATCGCAGTGCTAGATGCTAGCGTGCATCTCGTGTGTGTCGTGTGGTGTCTGCTGAACCTGCATGTGTCCATGTGATCGATCACTGTGTGTCTGTGTGTCTGTCCTCTCTCTCTCTCTCTCGATCCTCTCTCTCTCTCTCTCTACATAACACTCTACACAACATCACATACACACATATAATATATTAATATATATATATAGTAATATATTTAAATATTTATATATATATAAAATATTAAATGAAGAGAAGAGAGGAGAAAGTAAGAAAGAGAGAAGTAAGTAAAGAGAGAAGTAGAGTGAGATGAGATAGAGAGAGGAGATAATAATAAAGTAGTATAAGATAAAATGTAGATAAGAGCGCATATGATGAAGACGACGAGAGAGAAGAGAGAGTAGAGAGAAGATGAATGAATGAGAAGAGAGTAGAAGATAGAGATGAAGAGTAGAGAAGAGAGAGAGAGAGAGAGATAGAGTAGAGAGAGAAGGAAATTGATGAGAGAATGAGAGTAGAAGTAAGAGAGGTAGATAGAAATAGAGAGAGATAATGAGAGTAGAGTAAGTAGAGAGATGAGAAGAGTGTATATATATGTGTAGTATAGAATATATAGAAGAAGATAGAGAGAAGATAGATAGATAGAGAAAGAGAGAGAGAGAGAATCAGATGAGAGAGAGAGAGAGATAGAGTAGAGATAATGGTAGAGAGATAGAGATAATGAGAAAATGAGATGAAAAGAATAGATATGAAGTAAGAAGTATGAAAAGAGTAATATAGAGGATATAGATAGTATAATATATATGTATATAGATGAATGTGATAGTAGAGAATGGAGACAGAGATAGTTAGCATATATATAGGAGTATAAGAGAGAGAGTAGAGAAGAGAGAGAGAGAAGAGAGAGAGGAGAAGAGAGAAGAGAGAGTAGAGAAGAGAGAATACGAGAGAGAGAGAGAGAGAGTACGAGAGAAGAAAAGATAATAATGAGAATGTTGGTATAGTTATGATGTATGTGTGATATAGTAAGAAGAAGAGTAAGAGAGAGAGTAGAATGGGAGATAGAAGAGATAGAGAGAGAGAGAGTAAATGAGAGAGGAGAGAGAATAGAGAGAGAGAATATAGAAAAATAATAAAATAGAAAGATAGGATATAGAAGAAAGAAAGAAGTATATAGAGAGAGTATAGAGAGAGAGAGAGAGAAGAAAGAGGAGAGAAGACATATATTCATATATTCATATATTCATATTATAATATATATATATATATATATATATATAATATATATATATTATATAAATGTATAAATAAATATAGTATATATATAATATATATATATATATAATGTATATATATATATATATAGTGTACATATATAATATAAATATAGATATTTAATATATAAATATATATATATATATATAGTATAATATATATATATATAATATAAACAATTATATATTTATGTTATCTATAGTCTATATCTTATATATACCTATATGTATGTGTATATACATAAGATACATATATATAATATGAATATACTACTATATATATATATATATATATAAATAATAGTAGAATATACATATATATATAGTTTATAAGTATATTATATAGAATATATATATATATATATATATATACTATATAGTATATATATATATTTCATGTGTATATATAGTATATATACATAATATATATAATATATATATAATATAAATATATATATTAATATAAGTAATATATTATGTATAAAAATATATAACTACATATATAATATATATATATATATAATATATAGATATATATATAATATATATTTATATTTATATATGTAACACATATATATACATATATATATATAGTATATATATATAGTATATATTATATATAATAACTATATATATATATATAAATATAATCATATATATATTATATATATATATATATAATATATAATAAGTATACAGTAAATGTGTAATATAATATATAATATAAGGCTATATTATTATATATATAATTATATATATATAGAGAGATATATAAAATATATAGTAACATATATGTATATATATATTATATGATACTATATATATATATATAATTAGGAAAAAATATATATATTAAAATTAATATATAGTATAACATGTATAAAAATAATATATAAATATAGATTATATAGTAGTATAATATATATATACTATGAAACATATAATATCATATATAATAGAATATATATATGTATATAATATGTATTATATATATAATAGTATATAATATATAAGTATTATATAAATAGAGATACAGATGTATATTTATATTAAATATTTTTTTTTTTTATTTATATATACATACATAATATATATATAATATATATATATATACTATATAATTATAGTATAATATTATATATAGGGCATACAGAGCGATACAGTCATAGATGAGAGGATGGATAGAACCTGGTTAGTACATATGTATATATAATAGCAGACCTGGTATTTATATATAGTCCTAAACAGAGACTGAAAGATAACAGGAGAGTAATGAAATATAGATAATATACTAAATATATGACAATACAATCAATATATAGTATATATATAACATAACATGTATACATTATATATAAAGTATTATATAAGATATATATATATGTATAGATTATATAGTATAATATATAGGTAATACTATATAACATATATTATATACTATATATTAGCATATATATAGTACGATAATATATAAATAATATAATCACTAATGAGCATTATATATAGTATATAGTATTATTATATGAATAGATAATCCCGACGTTATATATTATACAATAGATATTATATACGTATGAATATATATATAATAGTAATATATATATAATATATATATGTATATTGCGTCTATCATTATATACTACTATATATATAGTAGTATAGAGCACATATAGTATAATATATAGAATAATATATAAATATACGATATTTATATATAACACAATCACCATACACAGCCTCACCACACATCATATAATATACACAGATATACATATATAATATATATACATACCATAAATACATTACATTACACACACTATAATATGTATAGTGCGTCTATAGATACATATATATAGTATAATATAGTAATATAATAGAATATATAATATAGTAATCTAGAGTAGGGGAGAAGGAGATGAGAAGAGAAAGAGAGACGAGTAAGAGAGAATAGATATATAGTATAGATAGAATGAAAGACTAGATTACCAGATAGTATAGAGTATATAGTAAGAGGAGCTCATTAGATAGTATATGTATAATACGAGTAGATAGAATAAGAGGAGATGAAAGAGAGAGAGAGGTGATAGATATAGGATAAAGAGATGAAGATAAGAAGAGATAAAATGAGATAAGGAATCAGATAAAGTAGGATAGATAGAGATAGAGAGAGATAGAGAAGGTAAGAGTATAGAGATAAATAGAGAGAGAGAAGAGAGAGGAGATAGAAGAGAGAAATAAGATAGAGAGAATGAGATATAAGTATATAGATATAGTATTGAGAGAGAACCCATAATACATCATGACTACAGTCTTATATGTAATGTATATAACCTCAGCGTGCGTGTGGAATACGTAACAGGGACTTCACACTCACAGAGTTACCTCCCAGAGGCCTGCAGGCAGGCCGTTCAGACCGGCTGATAAGCATGACTAGAGAGTGACGATTCCATCAAGAAAAGGGCATTATCACCCGTATGCCCCGCTGCGTGGTACCACTTAACCGGACCCCACACCCGGCCCTGCCTCGTCCGCCCCTTACGCGCCTTCTCCCTCTCTCTCGTCTGCGACTCACTCTCTCTCTGCGGCACAGGCCCTTGTCGTACTCTCTCGCGTGCCATCGCCTCCCATCACGCGCGCACTCGTCACCTTCTCACTTCTGCACGTATGCTATCATAGGTAAGGTATTACGATCTTCATAGGTCTCGCTTCCATGCACGGTACCAATCAGCACTGAGAGCGCGTCGCGCAAGTTATATACCATCTATAGGGGAATGCTGGCTCGTCCTGTCTTCTCTTGTTTTAGGTATGGAAGCCATCTAATCCTATATATAATGAGTATGAATCCTACTATTAAATTATATATATGTATATATATGTATATAGTATATATAGCATATATACTTATATATATATATATATTATATATATTTTTAAGATATATTATATCATAAATTAATATATGTACATACCTAACTAACATAATTCATTTTTATATATATTAAAGTCGAGTGATGATGCTGATAGTGTAATATATATATTATTATAATGTGATGTAGTCAGTGTGTGTGGGCTCGCAGCTAGCGTCAGTGTACATACACATATACTTTGGATTACAGATATTAAATACACTCACAGACGCATCTACCGCTCCCACAATACGACATATATATTGATAGCCATGCCAGAATAATACTATGACATGGGAGGTTCACTGAGTGACACTGAAAAGAGCGTACTATACCACCCTTGCTATACAATGTCATATAGATCTACAGAATCATCTTACCTACTAGGTTGACGGAGAATCACCATAGGAGTTGGCACTGAGTCAGCGTAGTATTTCGGTCAGTATAGCAGCTAGGAGCTCACGAGCGAGTAGGGATTTGAATACATACCGATCACGTGGTTCGGGTCTGCACGGGCAGGCGAGCGAGGTAAAGGGCGGGTAGAGTCATATCATCAGAATGGGCGCCAAGAGGGGTTCAGAGTTAGCACGCACAGACTAAGTAGATCACACCAACGACTACATAATATTAATTGAGCAATACACACAAACATATATCTGATAATTAATTAAGAGTATATAGTACTACTATAATATAAATATGCACGACACACACCCACACACACCACAATAATTATGTTATGAGTATATACTATTTATGATGAGTACAGTCACACACAGTACACAAGGATATTCAACGACATCTAATACACACACTTATATATATATATATCATATTATATATATTTATAGTTGATATATATAATCATAATATATAATATTATTATATATATAGTTTACATGTATATATATCTAAAATTATATGTATATTATTTAATATAATATAATACTTATATATTATATATATAATTACCCACCTTTACTATACCTATATATATAGTATATAATAATATATATAATAATAGTATATTACCCATCCGCTCACCGATATCGATCGATTATGGTATCGTATCACTGTCCACATCCCAAATATGTAGGTTTTATTGCGCGACCTACCCCCACGTTCGTGACGTTAAACTTGGCCAAGCCGATAGCAGGGAGATAGGGAGCATGAAGTGTTTATGCTGAGAATAATATCCGGAGTTCATATACACTGAAAGAATATCTAATACTACTCACAGTTGAATATTAACTATATACCGAATACCCCAACTCACCCTAGCCGCAGGAGATCACATAAAACCTTCCACGAGCACTACGTTAATTATCCCTGCAGGTATACTAGAGTGTTTCACAGGTATTACTAGTAGGCGATCTCGGGTATACGGCGGACGTATATGCATTTACCTATATCGTACATTACACACCACTGATCAGCATAGCTTATATCACTTTGAAAAAAATATAGTTTATACAATTGTATAGCAGCTACGATTGTAGTATAAATATATCAGGATGAACAAGGTATACCAATGAACTAGAAGAGCGCTCTCAGATCGCGAGTAGTTTATGCCACACGTCGTACATTTAGATGTTACAGAATGGGTATAAGCGCTTTTAATATAATATATATTTTTTTTTATATTATAGCATCATATATAGTATATATATATATATATAATATACCAGAGATAGGCCTCAAGGTCGTATTATTACACTGAGTCCACCTGTCAAATTGAAATACCTAATAACGATTTATTCACGAGAAAATCTACGTATACCAGAAATAACCGTTACGCATATTATATTACTAAGTTATACTTATATGTACTTATTATATATATCTACATGCCTATATATATATTAGACTACTAAGCGATGATAATATAAACAGTGGTGAAAGGGTGCTCCTATCATATGTATATATACCGAGATAGATTTATTATCACATACGCGTCACTATAGAGTAAGGTATAGCAACCAAAGATATACCTAGGAATGAGATATCTGGCGTGAATGAGAAGCTACCTTCATTACTATATATACTATATTATATATATAGGTACGCATTTTTATTGCAGTCCAAATATATATATGGCGTATTTCTATATATATTAGTACTTAAATAAAAATTACACATTAAAGGTATTATTGTAGGTTAATATACGTACTCCGTGTCTAGATTTGTGTGGTCACGCTCATATATCCTTAGCCGTAGAAATATCAGATATTATGGTGGAGATTTTGTTTATTCAGGTACAGGGAGTTGGGCGGATGACTCCTTACCCCCCCAAGGAGGGGGTTATCGTTACAGGGGTCTACAGAGCCCGCCAGCAACTGGAAAAGTACATATGAATTAATGTATAGATCCAGTCGGGTTATATTTCTTCACTCGTAGATGAGTTATATTATTATTTATAGAGGAGTAAATATTTTCCTAATATTTAACGCTCTCTCAGCCTGACTCACGAGCTAGGCGCCACCTGAGACAATAAAGTATATTTAGTATACTAATATCGTGTATCACGTCTCTATCACCCGATATAATATGAGTGCCACATAAGCATTATGCCGCTAATCATAAGTGGGTTTCTAAGTAGCAATATAAAACCTACATAATTTGGAATTGATACAAGTGAGAGGATATCCTATACGATATCACCTACTAATATCGTCAGAGATTAATATCGCGAAGGGCGAAGGTAATTATTAAGTAGAAAATACCAATAATATATAAATATAATATATATATATAATATATGTAATAATAATATATGCGTCTATATACAATATACATATATATATATATATATATTATATATAATATATATATGTATATTTATATATTATAATATTATAGATATATAATATTATAATATATATATACATATATTAAATATATATATATAATATACCTAGAACTTATCACGCTCACTAAAAAAGTCACCTCCTCCCTTACCCGCTCAATAGCTCCTCACCGTTATCACCCTTAGATAAGACCAGCACTACGATCAAAGCGATATCGCATTAGCACCTATTGGACTCACGATAGAGTCACCGAATAAACTCGATGCTATCGACCAGACTATAGATAGATAGATATGTATACCCTAGCACCAAGCCTCCTCCCCTGTCCCGCCCAAGCCCTACCTACCCCTACTCAGCGTACAAATGCCCTACACCTTCACACCCTTCCCTTTATATAGCCTCACAAGACCCTCCCTCCCTTCCGCCCAAGCCCTCCCCTCACTTTACCCGTCACCTACAGCACCATATACTACGATCATACCCATTATAGATACACCGCACCAAGCCCTTCCCTCCTCCTCCCGCCCGCGCCAAACGCTTCCTTCTCTTCTCTCCTCTCTCTCTCTCTCTCGCAGAGTCTCTCTCTTCTCTCTCCCCTCCCTCTCTCGCCGAAAATCCTCCCTCGTCCCTTTCTCATCTCGTCTCGCAAGCCCTTCTCTTCTCTCATCTCTTCTCTCTGCATCTCTCTCTTACCTCCCCTATCTGAGTCTATCTACCATATGCCCCTCTCCATCCCTCCTTCTCCCGCTCCAAATCCCTTACCTCCTCCTTCTCATCGGCCTCAAAGCCCTCCCCCCTTTCCCGCCCAAAGCCCTCCTGGTCCTTGACCCCGCCGTTCAAGCCCTCTCCCCTTCCGCCCAACGCCCTCCTCCCCTTCCCGCAAGCCTCCTCCCTTCCCGCCCAAGCCCTCCTCCCCTTCCCGCCCAAGCCCTCCCTCCCCTTTCCGCCCAAGCCCTCCTCCCTTCCCGCCCAAGCCCTCTCCCCTTCCCGCCCAAAGCCTCCTCCCCTTCCGCCCAAGCCTCCTCCCCTTCCCCCCCTCCCAAGCCCCTCCTCCCCTTCCCGCCCAAGCCCTCTCCTCCCCTTCCCCTCCTCTCCCCCCCAAGCCCTTCCCTCCCCCCTTCCTTCCTCTGCCCTCCAAGCCCTCCTCCCCCTTCCCGCCCAAGCCCTCCTCCCCTTCCCGCCCAAGCCCTCCTTCCCCTTCCCGCCCAAGCAAGCCCTCCTCCCTTCCCAGCCAAGCCCTCCTCCAAGCCCCTCCTCCCCTTCCCAGCCCAAGCCCTCCTCCCCCTCCCAAGCCCAAGTCCCAAGCCTCCTCCTTGCCCCTCCCCCTCACCCCCGCACCCTGGCGTCTGCAGGGCGCGACGTGGACGAGGTACACAACTCGCGGTCGTTGATCGTCTCTTTGATCGACCTGAAGGTCACCCTCGGTCGCTATTCGCCGCGTCCTCCATGAAGAATTTGATCTGGGGGGGGAGGGGAGGGGTTAGCAGGTCCCTTCGTTGGCTGGACAGGAGTGACTACTTGGCAACTGTCTCTGTCCCTCGATTTTGTTATTATTATTTTTTTTTTAACACATGCAATAGCGAAAAGAACCATTGACCGCGTTTGGCATCTCTTCTTGCCATGGCAAATTTTGGCCGACGCCATATATATATATATATATATATATATATATATATATATATATATATATATATATACATATATACATATATATATATATATATATATATATATATATATAATATTATATATATATATATATATATCGGATGGAGATTGGTATAGAAAAAGATAAATACATATAAGCGAATACGCATACACACATAGATACACAACCCCTTCCTCTCACGCTTTCCGTTATCGCGAAATGTTGCTCTCTCACATACCGTAACAGCCAAAAAAAAAAGAAAGCGAAAAAAAAACAAAAAAACATGCAGATGTGCTCACGGCATTACAGTCTCGATATATTCCATTTTCGACCATCTTGTCTCTTACTGGTTGACGTTTGCGCTCTCATCGTTGGACGAGCAGTACTTGGCAGGACTCTACAGGACTTAGCAAGACTGGCAGGACTTAGCAAGACTTGGCAGGACTTATAAAGGCTAGACAGGACGCTACAGGACTTAGCAAGACTTGGCAGGACTTATAAAGGCTAGACAGGACTCTACAGGACTTAGCAAGACTTGGCAGGACTTATAAAGGCTAGACAGGACTCTACAGGACTTAGCAAGACTTGGCAGGACTTTAAGGCTAGACAGGCAGGACTTAGCAAGACTTGGCAGGACTTAAAGGCTAGACAGACTCTACAGGACTTAGCAAGACTGGCAGGACTTATAAAGGCTAAGACAGGACTCACAAGGACTTAGCAAGACTTGGCAGGACTTAGCAAGACTTTACAGGGCTTAACAAGGCTTGGCAGGACTTTACGGCTTAGGCAAGACTTATAAAGGCCTGACAGGACCTCAGGACTAGCAAGACTTGCAGGACTTATAAAGGCTAGACAGGACTTCTATCTACAGACTTAGGCAAAAGAGACTTGGCAGGACTTATAAAGGCTTGACAGGCTTACTACAAGGCTTGACGCAGACTCTACAGGACCTAGACTTTACGGACTTAGTCAAGACTTGGCAGGAACTTATAAAAGGCTTGACAGGACTCTACAGGAACTTAGCAGGAATTAGCAAGACTTTCTTAAACAAGGCTTGGCAGGACTTAGCAAGACTTGGCAGGACTTATAAAGGCTTGACAGGACTCTACAGGACTTAGCAAGACTTGGCAGGACTTATAAAAGGCAGGGACTCTACAGGACTAAGCAAGCTTACTTGCCACCTGCGGCACTTATTAAAGGCTTAGACAGGCGACTTTTCTACAGGACTTAGCAAGACTTGGCAGGACTTAGCAAGACTTTACAGGGCTTAACAAGGCTTGGCAGGGCTTTACAGGACTTAGCAAGAAACTTGCAGGACTTAGGCAAGACTTGGCAGGACTTTAAAGGCTTGACAGGGCTTAACAAGGCTTGGCAGGACTTATAAAGGCTAGACACGGACCACTACTCAGGACTTACAAGACTTGCAGCAGGACTTATTAAAGGCTTGACAGGACTCTACAGGACTTAGCAAGACTTGGCAGGACTTAGCAAGACTTTACAGGGCTTAACAAGGCTTGGCAGGACTTAGCAAGACTTGGCAGGACTTATAAAGGCTTGACAGGACTCTACAGGACTTAGCAAGACTTTACAGGACTTAGCAGATTTATAAAGG